AACTATACACACAAATGCTTTAATATCAATTGACTATACATGCCAATAATTATTTAATTAATAAACCTTAACGCCAGTTTAATTTATTTATTTTCTAATTAATTTATTACACAGAACTATATAATTATTAATAATCATAAACGCCCCTTATATTCAGCTTATAATATCTCATTTATAACTAAAATACCGCTTTCATTCTGCTATGCCTAAGAGAACGATGAATCTATTAAACAAATAATAACATTATTTAAACAATTAAATAACTATTTAATGCAAAGTAGCGACAGGAGCTCTCTTGTCACCTTTACCGTTTCCCGCATAATAATCTAATTCGCAGCAAACGAAATTATTAATAAATCTATGTTTAACAATTAATTTTATATTAACTAACTATACTATCTCTTCAATAAATATTCAGTAATCTTGCCATCAGCCTTAAATATCAAATCTATTATTTATAACAAAGATATCGCTTAATAACCAATCTCTCTAGGAAATCACTAGATTTTCCCTAGACGCTTATTAATGAAAAATCAAAGAAACTAATAATCAAACTAGAGTCAGCTATTAATAATCTTCACAAGGGTATTCTAAACAATCAATTAATTTATTAACTTCATAAATAAAACATTATTAATTAACGTTATTTCACAATTATCTTACACTTATCTGGAAGCGATAAGATCTGGTTCCTCCTAAGATTTGGACCTGAAACAAATATAATAAATGGTTAATGACCATTAATAAACAATATACTTACCTGGGACTCCATCATAGTAGTACCTAAAATAAAAATAAATAAAGATTAGTATATAAATAATAACAATTAAATTGATACTTACCTCATCCGCGTTTTCCTACGATGATCTTCAGTTGGACGTCTGCCGGCTCCTCCTAAAACAAATAAAAGAAATAAGTATTAACAAATTAACAAATACAAATAACAAATGGTATTAGATTCGATTTAATTAACGTAGATGTTTAAGATTACTGCGTTTAGTTATAAATGATATTTTCTCTCTTTAATCTATAAGAACACTACCGTATTACTATATTCATTTTTCTTTTATATATATATATATATATATACTATTATGTTCCTACTATAATTACCATTTCTTTCTAGACTAATAACTCTATGTTTAATTTCCTGTATTCTGACTGATGTTTTTTCCTTTTTTTTATTTTATTCTCTATGAATAAAAGCTATAAATTTGTTTCCCTGTATCCGATAAGTCACCATTCTTCCTTATCGATAATCACCCAGTGCGAATTATATCTATACCCGGAAAATATGGGTCCTTTATTATCCACAGCAGTCTTGAGCTGAAACAAAATAATAAATTAATTAAATGATTATCAAGAAACAAATGCAAAGCGCCATGCTACCACCCCTATAATTATAAATTAAAATTAATATACTTACCCTATCATATTAGCGGCAGATCAACCAGGGTTCCTCCTTATCTATTATCACCCTGTGCGATCAACGACCGCACCGGATCAACCAGGGCCCTTCATTTTCACAAGCGCCCTGCGCGATTAGCGTCCTGTTTAAAAAAGGACCTCTCATAGCGCTCTTCGCGTTAACTAAGCGTACAGGTTTCCGCTCGGCCCCGCTTGTTGACACTTAGGCACTAAATATACATATATATATTTTATAATAATTTTATTACTTACTACAGGGCGGTCTGTCCCCCCCTTCAATTATTTTCTCCTCTCCATTTTCTATAATCTCAGTTCAATTAACCGCGGAAACTAAACAGGACGTAACAATATGCTGTTTCAGATTTATACTAGAGAATTGGACAACTAACGTCACTGATACCATCCTCAAAGCAACACAAGATAAAGATAGAAGAAGCCGAGCTTGACGATCGAGTGGCTGAAATCAGAATTGCAACATAGTCGATCAGTTTGTGAATTTTATAAGCATTCCAAATCTAACGATTTGGAAAATCTGAGAAAGAAGCAAGAAGAATGCGAATCTTTGAAATTAGAGTTACAACAAAAAAATGAAGAAATACAAAACCTACGTAAAGAAAAAAGGGAGCTAATAAATGATAACGAAAATTTTCATATGAGATTAGCGGCTACTAGTATCGTCAAAAGTGACTTTGAAGAGAAAGTAAAAGAAATATTAAAACCTTATTTTACAGAAGGACAAATAAGGTGCATTGTACAAAATCGAAAATGGATTCACTAGTCCATAGATGATTATGCTGCAGCAATTTTGTTACGCAGTGTCAGCCCAAAAGCATACACCTATATGAAACTGAAGCTTAATTACCCTTTACCGTCGTTGTCATCGTTGAGAAGATGGGCTCTGAAAAAATTTGACATTCGAGAGGGATTTTTATCTGATGTTTTAGTCGTAATGCGCGAAAAAGGTAAAGAATTCACAGCATTTGAGAAAATTGCTGTTGTAATTTTTGACGAAATGAGTGTATCTCCAGAAGTCTGCTTCGACTCTAAAATTGAAAAATTAGTTGGATCTTGTAAAAAAGTTCAAGTCATCATGGTTCGTGGACTCTTCAGTAAGTGGAAACAACCGATTTATTACAAGTTTGATCAACCAATGACGAAGAGCATTCTGATGGAAGCTATACAACGTTTATATGACGCAGGATACGTGGTCGTTGCAGTTACTAGCGATATGGGTAACAAAGGAGTATGGGGAGAATTAAATATTACTCCAAAAAATTACTGGTTTGAGCATCCCAATATAAAAGATGCAAAAATATTTATCTTTGCTGATGTTCCGCATCTTTTAAAACTGTTGCGGAATTGGTTCATCGATAATGGCTTTTTACTGTTAAATTGCACAGAACCATTTACTGCCGCAGTTTTTCAGTCAATCATCGACATGAACAAAGCAGGCGATCTTCATGTGGCACATCGTTTAACCCAACGAATACTGGATGCTCGAAATACTTTGCGGCAAGCTGTCCGACCAGCGGCACAAATTTGGTCACATACATCAGCAAAAGCGATCAAATGGGCTGGTCAACGTGGACTTCTTTATGTTAAGGAATATGCAAAATTCTCCGACTTTGTTGAAGCTGTTAACGATTGGTTTGATGTACATAATTTGCAACAAAAATATGGTGCGCATCTGGGAGTCAATGGTTTTGGGGTGGATTTTAAACAACAGCAGCAAACTTTGATTTTGATGAACCTTTACATTGAAAATATGAAAGTCGGTTCCAGGAAAGTGATGATGCCATTTCAAAAAGGAATTCTGATTAGTAACAATTCG